GAGGGAGGGAGGAGTTCAGTTCTTCTGTGCAGTAGGAAAGCATATCCAGTCTTGCTGACCTGCCGGTTGATATGGTTTAGTGAACTTCTAATAAGACTAAAAGTTAAAAGTATCACCACCAACTGGGAGAAGGTCAGTCTCTGTTTGTGACAGTTTTAGACCACTGGGCCTTCCTTCCATACTACTTTGGCTATCCGTTGATGAAGGCCTAACCTCTCCCAAGGGTTGCTAGCCATGGTCTTGTGGGATTCATGTACAATTTTCTAATTAAACATTTTGTGTAACAGTTAAAAATAAAAATGACTTCTCTGTGTCTCCATCTCCCTGTCTGTAAAATACTCGGGTTGAACTACATAATTTCTGGCATTTAAAAAAAAACGGTGGCCGGGAGGATGATCTCACTGACGCCAAGTGATATTTGTCTATCTCTACCTGGAGATCAGCCCAGACAGAGGTCTAGAAGGATGGTTATTGACATTTTGGATGCCCTTACTCACCCTCTAAGCCCAGATTATGGGTTCTTCATGTCTGCCCACCCCATGGGTGAAAACAAATAAGAAGGAGAGGACGGAGGGACAATCTCTATAAAGAAGAGGGGACGGGAGGGACCTGATGGAGCTTCTGAGGAGCTGTTGGGGCTGTTGACAAGTACAGACTGTCTTTGTGTTACACAGACAAGCCAAGTTCATCCAGCCACAGGACTTGCTCTTCCCTCTGCCTAGTCATCATGACTCAGCTCAAAATCACCTTGGGAGAGGGCCCTTCCCTGACCAGGCTCTCCACAGTTCCCTCCAGGCTTCCCCAAAATTCTCTGTAGAACATCACAGTGGTATTGGCCTCATGTGGGGAGCAGTGATGTGGATCAAGGTGTCCGATTGTCTCATGGTTGTGGTGTGCTTGTGCTGGGATCCCCCCACGCAAAGGTACGGGTTCACATTGTCCAGTTGCTATAGCGACGCTGCCCTGAGCACACTCAGTACCAAAGCTCAGAGTTTTCAGTGAAATTCAGACACTAGCTCCTAAAGAAAGAGGATTCTGAGCATAGCAAGATAAATATAATGACTCATCACTGCTGGGACCTTCAAGCCTGCCTGCTTTGCAGAAACTTCCCACAAATAACCTTTTGATGATAAAACCTATATAATAAACATGTGGAGCCAGCTCCGGGTCAGTGTTCTCCCAACCAGAGATCAGTTTCCCACCTGATCCCACTTTTCTGTCTAAATGTTTGTGTGTCTGTCTTAATCCCCCATCACCCCTTGCTGGCTTTCTGAATTGATGGCTACGGGGCAGCCTCATATCTCTTCTTGTGATCTGATATAATCCTCTTTCATCATTAGTTTCCTTGTTAATTATCTGTTTCCAATACCAGATTGGAACACCCTAAAAACATTCACTATTGGTCATATTTAATGTAGTATTCTCAAGTGCCTAACATATAGTAAGTGCTCAATAAATATTTATTGAATGAATAAATGGATAAATGGATAGACGGACATATATATGTATGGATGGATGGATGGATGATACAGGCTGGGGATTGTATGCATTTAAAAGTAGGATGACTATGAAATGTCTTTTAAATATTGGTTTAAATTAGGGTTTCCCAACTCAAATGCTTGTTGGAGCAAGACTAGCTTTATGAACAAGTGGACCACTTCTCAGAGGACAAATGGTAAATAAGATGCAGCCCTGATATCAGAGATGCAATAGGGCATGGTGGAGTCTGCAGCAAACTGTATCCAAACACCCCATCTAAATAGGGAACTAGCTGCTCCGCTCAGCTCCTGCCGCTTCATGCTACAGGAGTGTGACCCAGTGTTGCCAGATCTTCAGATTATTCAAGAGAATTCAGAAATTTGGGTTTTCGTATAAATTTTCCAGGTTTTTAAAGACCAGCAACAAATACAAGTTTGGTTTTCAAGTTTGTTTGTTGGTTTAAGTAAAACTATCAAGGCCATCCTATGTAAATCTGCATCAGGGCTGCAGACCTGTCTGAGACCTAGCTTGGATTCACTACCCTAAGATCTCCTTTCATGGGGACTGGGACCTGCCCTGATTCGTCTGTTGCCCCAGCCTGAGCACAGGAGGTCATTGAGATAGCTAATGCCTCTCTCCTCCACCTTGGCCAGGGACACAATCAGGAGGAGCATCGCAGGGGATGAAGGCAAATAATCTCTACAGTAGAGCACCATGCCGCCAGTCTTTTCTCCACTCACCTTGAACCTCGCCACTGCAGACTTGGAGTTCATGAGGGCTTTGACTGCAAAGGGCACAAAGAACACTGCCAGGCGCAGGGGATTCAGGGTGGCCACTACTATGAAGGCCTGGATCAGAGCAGGAGGAGGTAGTGAGGGTCTCAGTCCTTCCCCATTTTCTGCCTTTCTTGGGGCTCCCCTCCCTGAGTCTCAAGCCACAGGGCCACCCAACAGCTTCTACCAAGCTGGTGTTTGGGAGAGACTGAGAAAGGGGAGGAAGGAACACTTGTCTTGGAGC